AGGAGATAAGCTAAGCTGGCTCCATCTTTGCAGCTGTATGCAGGGCTCTGGATTAGGAGACAAGTCAACAAAAGTCTGTGTGTAGTTGTTGGTAAGAGCGCAAAAGAGAGATTATTTTCCTTTCCCTTGTTTAATCTGCAGTGAAAGGTTAAAATCAATTTAGAAGATACCTATATCTTGATCCAGTGAAGAGAAATGCAATATTTCAGCTTACCCAAAGGAACAATAGACACACAGCTCACATATGACTGGCTGTGAATATTAGAGACCCAAGGAGAACACTTTTTTTGCCATTATAGTAGGGTTTTTTTTGCATCAGATGGTACCATCTGCTGTCAAACTTTTCTGAGAAATCAATACAAGTCAGGGTAGCCCCACTTCACAACTTTGTTCTCTCTCTTCAGCACAAAAAGCCACTTCATTAGGTTTGACTCAGTGCCCACCTGGCTCAAAGATGGCATAGCTATTCACTGATGTCACCTATGGATTTCAGGGTAGAGCACTGTGGGCTGGGACCTTTTCCTTTCTATGTTTGATATAACATAAACAAACTTCATCTGACCCTTTCTGACTTTCTCAACAGTCAAACTCAAACTGAGAAATAGTCTTAAACCAGATCTGTCAAGGAATGCCAGTGCTGTCTAAATGATCCAGCTTTCTGATGGGAGTCACACATGGAATGCATTCACAAGGTTTCTTCAAACTGGGAGTGAGTACAGTGAGAACTGATCTACAGTGAGATCCTGGCATGCCCTCCAAAGATATTGAAACCAATAGCCTCAGTGCTGTTTCTACATCCTTTTTAATTACACTAAAATTACGCCTTTCTGGTAATTCCATTCTTGAAATTTTTCCTTGAGTTAGCCTACGCTTCCCCTTTCTTTTTTTTTTCAGAGGAGATTTCCCAATGAAAAATTGTTCTGGAAGAGATATAAATAACATCTGGGTGTGAAAGGTTCTTTCAACAGCTGACTAAGTCAGAAAAGAGCATGAGGAATTCATTTTTTTCTTTTGTCAGTATGAAAGTTGAAACTGGTGATCTCTTCCTCTTGAGTCAGCCCAGCCATGTGAGAGTAGTAGGCCAGGCCTTCAGCATTTCATGGGAATCAAATTCTCCTCAGCCTAGCTTCCATCCCGCTTCTTTCTTCCCTCTGATTTGCTACTTCCTCAGGATAACCTAGAGGTGATCCAGGGTAATTAGGCCTGTTCTAGACACTCAGCTTAAGATGATGAGCTTCTCCTCCCAAGAGCTTCCTATATGCTATTTTCTCTACCACACCTTCAATTTATGATAAAGCTTTCGTACAGTGCACCTTGTTCCTGCTTGCCTCAAGGAATATATCAGAAGTTTGCTATTTATCTATGGGAAAACAATTAGTAGATAGCTGTCCTGCTAATCTTCTGTGAGAATTTCGTATTCTCTTAAGTAAATTAGATACTGAATGCATTTTCCTCTGTTTAGTATGGTTTAGTCTCTCAAATGCTACTCCATGAGGATTGCCAGTAGATGCTTCCTGCATCTTTTTCCCACCATCCTATTTCTGGACTCTTCGTACCAACCTGTCCTCTGAGCTCACACCCACTTCTTTTATCATTTACACATGGCATAATGTCTTGGGAGCAATGTCATTTTCTTAGAGAAGATCCCCTAGACTTTGCACCTAGACATTTCTCATAAAATTAGACTGCCTGTACCTGTCCTTTGCTGCACCCTCCTTTGTTCCACCCTCATTGCATCTTATTGGATGCTAATCTGAGAATATATCTGCTTCTAAACCCTTTACTCAGCTGGGAAGCATAATGGTACTTCAGGGTGAATAGCATCCTGAGAATAAATTGTTCACTATTGAACTGCCACTAAATTAACACCAGGCTGAGAACTTTGAACTGATCACCCTGCTCTGCTCATCTTGGTGTGTTACTGTGGCCCTTCCCATTTTGGAAAGCAGTTCTTTGCTGGCAGCTTCATAGTGTCAGAAAGGCACTTGACACAAGAAGCTGTACAGATTGAGCCTCTTCCCTCTTATTTCCCTCTTGCGCCATTCTCACCTCTGTTTGTTGTCTCTTCCAGATGTAGTTCCCTAGAAGACATGGTGATTAGAGACATCCTCCAGACCAAGTTTCCTAGCCCTGAGGCCTTGTGGCATAGAGAAGGGACTCCCTATGGATCACCTGCATGCTACTACCAGCTGAAGGTCTGAAGAAGTTCCACGTTCAGTAAGACAGTGAAAACTTTGCCTGGACAAGAGCAGGATTTCACTATATAAGCTGTTTCATTCATTCAGTAACAGCTAGTTAAAGCTAATAATGTCTCAGTTATTCCTTTCCATAACTGATCCTGTGAGCCAGTCCAAGTCTTCCTCAGTCTGGAGGACACCAGAGGGGAATTTCACTCTTGGGAAGGACCTCTTCTGCCTGTGGTGAGGACAAGCATTGGTAACCAGGCCACAGATGGCTTTGGAGTAACCACACTGAGCCTCATAACAAAATCTCATATTTGTGTACAAGCTTCCAGGGAAGAATAGAAAATGAAACATCAGCCAACACTTCCTGTAGATCCACCCTTGTGCATGTGTTTGGGTAGTGGTGTTTCATTTTTCTGGTTAGTGGTTCCCATCAGAAATTAAAAAGAAGCTGTCAAACGGTTGTGCAAGAGAAATATGAGTTCTGGAGCATCCTGACTGCTCAATAAAGGGGTCTGTTGTAAAAGCACCAGCAACCTGCTCTAATAGCCCAAGGATGAGATTTCCTAGGATTCTCCATCATGTGGTGGCCATGACACTCTCTTGCAGAACAGGTCTAGGACCAAATTCTGTACATGAGATCGTGCCTATAGGGACTCTATCTGGGTAAATATTGACTTGTTCTTTCAGACCAGCAGAGCAGCTTTGCACTAAACACAACCATAAAGTAAAATAATTGCTGAGTATGGTGGACTCTGGCCACATTTGGCCACATGCAGCTGAGGCCATAGCAGAATTTTGTACCCCAGCTCTCTGCTGTGCTGTAACCAGATGGCAGCAGGTGAAGAACATGTGTGCTGGCAGTGGGGAGCTCTGTCTCTGGCAGAGCAGCAGAGCTGCTCTCAGTTATCCTCAGAAACAGACCAGCTGGGCTCCCTATAGAAGTTGAACACTCAGAGCCATAAGTGTGATTTCTATTCCACTGCCTACTTTAAGATGCTGCCATTTCCTACCATGCTGCTTATCATCCAGAAATTTCCCACCTTGCCTTTCTTCCCTGTTTTTTAACAATTTTCCCTTCCTGAAGAGACTATCCCAAGGGGCTGAGAGTAAGATCTGGGGACTGTCCTGTTTCCTACTCAGTGTTCATCTAGACTGACCTGCTTCTCAGGTGCTTTGCGTCTCCCTTTCCCAAGCCTCATTTCTGCAGCAATGCCTGACGTTCTCTGGGCAGGGTGCTGGGAAGAGACGGAAATGAGCATTTGCAGACACTTTGAACTGTCTCCTGAATAAATGGAAGAAAACTAAAGGATAGCCAGACAGCAGGGATTATTGATTTTATAGCTATTTCAACAGCTTCATCAACGGTGGCATGTAAAAAGAGCTCATCACTTATAAATTGACTCTTCCAGGGATCAAAGGCTTGTCAGGCAACAATTAGTTCTGGTAATTTATCAGTTGTTTGAGCTTGTCAGGTGGAGAGAGACGGCTAGTTCTGCATCAGCTCCCTTGCAAAGTTGTAGCTGTAGCCAGGGCCAGGTAGGATGTGCAGGTCACTCATTTGCTAAATATTTCATGTCCTCCAGTGTTCCATCAGTCTTTCCGATACCTGATCCAATTTGGTTGGGCTGTCAGCTGAAAAGGAGGCGTCTCTTAGCACACTAATGTCACTCCAGCCACAGGTTCTTTGTCTTCTTAACAATGTCCCTGTCAAATCCCTACTGAGCAGCTAAATGAACTGGAATGCTGCAAAAAGAAGGAAAAAAGAAAAAAAAACAACCAAAACCTGTGGCGTGTCTTTAATTAGCCCATAAACCATTCAGAGCTTCCCAACTGTGCTGTCCATCCAGAGAGGGAAAACTGAGGGCAAATATACTCTCTCCTTGCAGACCTCATGTTAAAAAAAAAATTCCATGTTAACAGCAAGAGCTGATTTGAACAGATGAGAAGCCTGAGCAAAAGCAACCATTCTGTGTAGCAGTGCCTGGTGCAGGTGCTAAGAGCAGCTGCATCCTTTGCAAAGCATCCTTTGCAAGGGCACCTGTGGAATTTGGCTGTACTGACGAGAACTCTGATAGTTTAAGTGGCAATAAAAAAGACAGATATCAAGGCAGAGAGCCCCTTGATTCTGGACTTTTCTGACAATAGGGAGTAGATCCAAAATGTGTTGCACAACATTGAAAAGACCTTCACTGCAATACCCTGCATTGCATGTGCACACATTTGCATGCCTACAAGTACATGTGCCAGGTTGTAAATGCCTTGATTTTTCCCTGATGTATCTGATCACATATAATGTATTTATACAATCACATTCTTTTTAGAACAGTACCTTTCTTATTTGCTATGTGGCAAGACTCAGTCCTGCACTTTCCTATGCTGACATCTTCATTTTGCAACTTTTTTTCCAATCTACTTTCTATGTATAACCACCAGTTTAGTTAATTTAGTTAATTCTTTGGTGGGCCACCAAAGAATATCCAGTGGAAGCACATACTGTTCCAGGAATTTCACATATGCAGGTTGTTTTAAAGCACATATGAACTTGCATCCCTTAATCACATTTCACGGTTCTTCAGATGTTCATGGAACACGGGCTGAAAAACCAGCTACTATCAGAACTTCACACAGAAACAGCTCACAAAAGTTGTGTTTGGTAACAAGGACAGTACAGAAATGCTTGTGTAAACAAAAATAAAGGAAAGACTGTAGTTTGCTCAGAAAGTTGAACCCTGTGCATGTATAGACATTTATAGAAACATCTTTGGAGAAAAATAATTACTCGGCAGAAAGTGGTTAGTTCAAAGAATAAATTTTTTTACTGTGTAGTAATATCTAGCCAACTTTCTGGCTTGCCTAAAGGGTCAACACCAGAACCAGCAATCTATAATCTATTGCCAATTCAGGGCAAAGGACGGCGCTCATGAACAATTTGCTTTTCAGCCAGGTGAAAGACGTCCTTGTGCTCATGATGAAGCAGACTAAGAGTGAAGTAAAATTAAATTAACAGCTTTAATGCACATTTGGAAGCCTCTGGAAAGCACATAGCTGCAAAGTGTCCAGCTGGATGTGTACCGAGAATGACATAATGGTGAGCAGAGACCCAGAAGGAAAAACAGCAGGCCAAGTTCGCAGGAAAAGCCATAAGATTTTAGAAAGATAGTGGATTAAAATTTCTGGGAAAACTAAGAAAATGGTCTTATGAAAACATGGAAGAAACATGGACGTCTGCTGAGGTGTCTGTGAATTTCATAGCTGTAGGCTATTGCTACATGATTGACACAATAAAACCTTTCAGCTGGTTAAATCAATGCTGTTCCTCCAGATTCTCCTGAATAATGCCAGTTTAGTCCATCCGTGGGGAAGCTGGGATGACTGGACAGCACTCCCAGCTGAGATGCTTTCTCAGAAAAATCTGCTGTAAGTTACTGATAAGACCTGTGGGGTCATTTTGAGATGGTGCCTATGGAAAGAGCCTCCGGCACTGCAAAGCAGCCCCCATGGTGAACCTGCAGCCGTGTGAGACAGGAGGTTACATTTCCACAGGACTCATCAGGGCTGCTGGTGTGGCTTGTGACTTGCAGCCACCCCATCTCCTGTCCCCCCAAAAGGCACACTGGCAGCAGCATTGAGCATGGCAGGCTCTGATTAGCCCAGCAATGATCCCTCCTTGCAGCAGCATGGGTTCTTTCATTCCTGCTTGCCTTGCTGCATAATTAGGTTAACTGCCTGCTGGATGTGCTGGGCAGCCCACGTGCAAGGAAAGAGAGTCTCCTTTGAGGTGACATGAGAGGTACAATCATAAGGGGAAAACCCACAGGGCGCTCTCAAGGCACCTCTCCGGCATATACAAGGTCATGGTTCTCGTTCTCTGCTTGTTTATGGTACTCGAGAGAAATCCTTCCACAGGCAAATCCACACCTTAAAGGCCTGCACACTTCTGATAAGAATAAGGCACACACCATTTGTCCAACTTCTCTGTCCACTTTAGTTTGCTGTCTAGTTTGTGAATATCACTGCTTTATACTCCTGTTAGAAATAAGAGATTAAAATAAGAAACAAAACAAGAGGAGAAGCTCTTGACCACAAAACATTCAATACACATGACTACCTCTGCACAACAAGTCCTTAGAGCGCTCCTTTTTTTTTTTTTTTGATCATGAATACTTCATCAAGTCCTGGGTTAAATTGTGTTTGTGAAAAGAGATGGAGAAAGCAGAGGAGAATGTAAATCAAACCTATATGACCAAAAATACAGTGCTGTTTTCTTCTTGCCAGATTAGAAGTTGGATTTCTTTCTGGTGACTGGCACAAACGTACATTTTTCCTTTAGCTAGGAAAAAAGTTCGTTTTAGGGTTGTTTTTTTTACTTTCTTTCCTTGGAGGGAAAAACACAACAACAACAGTGTGGGCTTGAATTACAGTGGATGAACTCAAATAATTTCTGTAGCCCCCAAAATAGCTGGAGAAGTCAATGAAACCACAAACTCCATGGGGCTCATCCATTTTTGAATGCAGCTTTTTTGAGCCAGAGGCAAATTGCACTATCACTTACCAAAGGGATATTTATCTAATTTATTACTACAAAATGCTTGCAGGGAGGAAAAAAACCCCAACCAAACAAAAACAAAACCCATCCAAACCCAGTCCAAGAAAACCAAGAGCCACTAAAGGCCTGTGCTAGCATGAGCAAACCAGTGTCTGTTTGTCCCAGCCTGGCAATACCAGAAAGAAGGAAGCCTTTCTGGGTCAAATTCTGCTCTCATTTGCACTGCCAGAATGATGCCTCTAAAGCTGAGGGAATTGTTGGCTGGCTGGCTGGCCCAGGGGACTTCATGCAGAACTCAGGTCTCCTTGACCTGATCAGAGCAGAGGAGCCTGTCCCAGGCACTAAGACATACCAACTGATTGTTTAACCATATTGAGCAAAATAGGCTTCCCTACCATTTTTCACCTAGCTCAGATTTGATCAGAGACATAAAATAAAGAAAGACATGAACACTCATTCTGGCTACGGTTCTGAAGTGTCGTTTGCACGATGTTTACCTCAGGAAAAACGATCTTGCCACTATCTTTGTACTTTATCTGCAGCTTTCTGTCTCTCTGCATACTTACACTTAGCACCACAGCTTCCAAGCATTCTCCTCTAATTAATCAAAAAGTCGGTCCTTTTGTTTCCTAGGTCACGAAGGAAGAACAGTACATTAAATAAAGATATTGGCTGAGGATGGAAGCTGGATTTCTACCCAAGGAGCCTAATAATAGTGCCTTCATGCAGGCCAAGTAAAAATTGATATGGTTTTATATACACAGAGGCAAACAGTTGAGTGTGAAAAGAGTAAACACCAGATAGCATTCAAACAGTGGTTTATCCAGCTCATTCTGTTTGTAAATATAGAAATGTGTTTTGGTGGCTAAATTTATCCTAATGTAAGGAAACATGAACAAAGAGGTTGGTATTTGGTAACTTCTATAGGCAACATTAGGACATCCTGCAGGAATTATTTGGGGGCAGTTCATGATAATGTGGTACAGATTAGAGTTGCCATTTCTGGAAGAATTAGGTCAGAATTATGTAGATAAGATGGAAGGAATTTCAGTAGCATTGTAGTATTTTCCTGACTTGAAGCCTGACTCACACGTCAAAGCTTTGTTTTATTGTATACCTTGTTTTGATCTATAGTCAAAACAGCCTTTATCCAGAGAAAATGAAAATAAACTATCTGAGAAAGAAAGAATTACAGTCAGCATTGATTAAAAATAAGTACAGCAAGCCTAATTTTGGAGAATAGTTGTCTTTTCCTGTGAAACTTTTTCCAATTCCAGAAATGGCCATACTGAACCCAGGAAAAATCAGAGGAGGAAGATACGCTTTGATAACAGCTTAGCAATGGAGCTTTTCCTTGCTCTTGGTGTGAGATGGAATTTCAGTCATATGTCAGGTGTATTTTGGGCCACACTGGAAAGTGGTGTCCCTCTTCCCTATACACTTCCCTTTATGCCTCTCAAATTTCATCCTGGATTAGAAGAACCTCTCACTTAAAAGGAGATAGACCATGGTCATGGAAGGTTCCCTTTTTCAGAGCAGTGAGATTAGTTCTAGTTAGAAGACCAAGAGCTTTGACTGTGCAGCCTTGCCTCTGCAGTCAGCACAATGTTTCCTTTGGCTTCAGGTAGAATATTTTTTCACTCAGGTCGTTTATTATAAGTAAGAATGTACTTTTACACTGCTCTGTGTTCAGTGCCATAAATCCCAGCACATATTATGCCTCTCTTTTCTCACCAGGGGCTCTAGCCTAAGTTACTGAATCTCTCTCTCACACAGAGCTTTGAGAAGGAGCAAACCTCTGGGGCAGACCCTGGTACTTGTATGTGAGCCAGAGTTAAGATAAAACGCTTCATGTTCCCTGTTGCTTGTTCAATGAGACAAACAGACTGCTGAACTCTGCTTTTTCAGTCTAGCTCATTAATGCAAACCAGGGTAAGCTGCAGTTTATGCTCCAGTGTCACAAGGAAAATGGGGGGGAGGGTGGCATGCAGAAGCGGCAGTGCATCCCCTTCCACCCTTGCTGCACACCAGTGGGTCCCTGAAGCCAGCTGGGCAGCATGAAACAGCTCCTGCCACTCTTCCCAAAGCCTGCAAGCCCCTGCCATCAGGGCAACTTACCCCCTCATGCTCTTTGCATCGAGGCTCAGGCTTGTACTTTGCATGATCCTGGGGACCAGGCTGAACCCATGGCATGCCAAAAGGCCAGAGAGAGCCCATCCCTACATAAAGCTGCAGCATGAGCAAGCAGCAGATGCAGTTTACTGGGAAGGGAGAATGGAAGCCAGCTTTTGACTCCAGGCATGGACAGAGTAAACCTTAGAAGGAACAGGTTTATTTTTAGGATGGTCTCTGAAGAATCTCTTAAGCAGATAGACAGGAATTTGGGCTACTAAAGCCCACCCACAGCATCATTTAGGCCAGCCACATAGAAAATCCAAATAACCAGCCTTGATAACAGCACAGACACTGCTGCAATGTTCCCCACTCCCAGAATTTATCCTTTCCCCACAATCTTTCCTGGGAGAGAAAACAGGAACAACTGGGATGGGGATGCTGATGTGCAGCCCCTTCACTATCAGAGACATCCCACACCAGCTGCTTGCCTGCCACTTTGGCTGAGTGAGAGGCAGCATCTCAACTACTTGTTTGTTTATTTTCCCTGCCAAAGGCAACCACTGCTAGGGCAAGAAATGGAAAACCAGGGAGCATTAGTGAGGTCTCTTCATGCCTGACAGAGGTCACTGATCCAGGCACATCCCGAGCAGTCAGTGCTGGTGATGCAGAGATCAAAGGATAGCTCTGGGGGCTGCAGCCTGCCCTGCAGAAGCACAGGGGCTCCCAGTTCCTTCCCACTGCCTGGACCAGGCACTCCTGTCAGTACAGGATTGCCAGCAATGTCATTTCCTCACCAAATTACTGCTCCAAAACATAGTAGAGAAAGTGAAGGAAACATTACCCTGACTGTCAATATTATGAATATTGATAAGAAATCCAGAACATTTTCAGAAATTTTCAATGGTGACTACTTCAGTGTTTGGGTCACACTCCCTGTATTGTACTTCTTTGTTAAGTTCTGTTTTTTAAAAAAACCCAAATCACTCAGTTTTATCCTTGGATTAACTCTTGTCCTTTTTTTTTTCCCATAGGATCAGAGATTATTAAATCAATTTATTTGCTTTTAGCATCTTTGTAGGTATAACCATTTAAAGCTAATATTTTGAAACATGTAAAAAAATTAACTACTGATCTAGATTTTTCCTGAGCTAGGGCCCCATTGAGATCTCCATCTTCACCTCGCATGGAATGGGCTGAAATTTTTAGCATAGCAGGGCAATAAGTAACATTGCCTAGCTCAATACACGCCACAAATTTTCCAATGTGTGCATTTTCCCCTCTAGTTCATCCACACCCAAATCTCTAATGCCCATATTTTAATGTCGTAGTATACCTACATCATACACATAAGAAGATTGCTCCAGGATAAGTTAATTTGTCCAATTTAGAGTTTGCCATGAAGATTTGAGAGCAACCTTGCAGCTAGAACAAGAGACATGTGCTGTCTCACATCTGGCACAAACTTTGATTGCTGTGATCTGGCTTATCTGACAGAAAGGCAATCATGTGCACACACTTCACCTGGGTCAGCTTTGGACAATCAGCAATTTACTTCCATGATCACGGAGCCACAGACTAAGGAAAAACAAGCCAATACAGTAATTAAAAATATTTATTTCTGAAGATATTTACCTTGATAGGCATAAAGCATTTCCCAATTTCATACAGAAATACATAAAACATGCATAGACCAATATGGCCTACTTCAATGTGTATTCAACATGGTAAATATAATGAAGAACTTTTGTGAATATAAATACATGACACAAAAATAAGCACATAAGATTCAACTTGTCTGCAAATTCAACATTGTGAACAAATTCACTGCTATAAACATTCACCCAATATTAGCCTTTTGACTTAATTCAAAACAACCCTTTGTCTCAATGCATTTCCACCAAACAAGGCCCTGAATAAACCTTGCAACGGCCTCTGGTACATCCCCACTTCAGTGCACTTTTGGTAGCATGTAAGACACAACAACCTCTATTATTAGAACTTCAGTTGACCAAATATCCTTGTTATGGTAAACTTAGTAGTGTCCTCGATAACTTTCATTTTATGTTGAAGGGTCCTTTGGTATCCAAAGCCAAAGGACTTTGACTATGCAAACAATCAGAGTGCCTAACCCACATTCAGATAACTCTGGTTGTACAAGTAAACTAGACTTCTGAAAAAAGGCAAAGGGTTGCAGCTGATTAGTAAAGGCAATAACAAGGTGTAAAAATACTCTAGCAGGAGTGCAACAAACAGTATGCGAGGTAGACATGTATATATGCAGTAAGTCCTGATTAAAGTAGAACTGTGGCTTTCATTTTTGCATTTTAATCAAAAGGTAGAGTTCTTTGAAGTTTGTACACTCAGATCTTGCTTTCTGTCCTTGCTAAGCACATCTGTGAGGTCTTCATTGCGAGATGCTTTTGTTGTAGACCCTGAAAGCTGCTCAATTGATGGGTAACATTCCAGAAGCAGTATTCAAATGTTTCTTTAGACAGATGGCTTTTCATGTATGCTACTGCAGATTTCCCTTCAGCCCTTCTACCCATCCACCTGAATTCCAAAATGATAAAATCCTTTGTATTTATATCTCCAAATACAGGACTTCCTTAGCATTTTGCTCCGCTGTGCAAACACTTGGACAGAGGGGCCCTTGGCCATCATGGAATGTTGGAGTCAAGACAGTTTTCGCGATGCTTTGTCAGCAAGCGTTGCAGAGAAGGATTCAGGTGATCTCCCCACTAGGATGCTTTCAGGCTTTCCCGGACGCTCTGCCTTTTGTTCGCCCTGTTGTGTTTGAGCTTTCGCCCTTTCTGGAGCTCAGCCTTCAGCTTTGCGATACTGAAGGAAGCTTTGATACTGTTACCAATGGCCTCCAGCCTGCGAAATCAAGAAACGTACATTTAGCCTTGTGATAGTGAAGATGCATTTCCAGTGTGAAAAAACTTAGTTTTTGCTTAAATAAACCTCAGTCTAGATTTCTACCATGGGATCCTAAAAAAACTTATAGGTTTGCTATACCTCAGAATTAGGATAATGTAAGATACTTGAAATGCTGTATTCATAATTTCAATGCAAACATTAAACTAAAATAATCGCTCAAATATAGATGCTCTAGACTTCCTTAAGTAGCCAGTCAGGAGGTCTCCAGTGGCTTTTTATGCTTTGCCTGTGCTGTTTCTTCTAGGTGAACCTGATCCTACTTCCAATGAATAGGTGCATTTTGCAAGTGAGTAAGCAAGCCTCACTTTCAAAAAATTATTTAAGACTTTCAGGACCTATTTCTCCTTCAATATCATCAGGTTGCCTGCTTCCATAAGTCCTGTTCTGCTTGTGAAAGTAGCACTAGAGTCATCTTTAGTACAGGCTTTAGTACCGTACTTTTCCACGGGAATATGGCTGAGCGCTGAATGCAAGCAGAGGACAGACAGTGGGCTGAGCTCAGCACACTTGTCCCCACAAGCTAAAAGCCCAGAGCATGAAGAAAATCCCTCAAAATATCCTCACAGATTCCTCCATAACTCTCAAGCTGAAACCACCAGCTAAGCCCAGGATGACCCGAAGGCAGGTGAACTGTGCTCTCTATTGCTGCTCCCGGGAACTACAACAGCATGAGAAGAAACTCACCGCTTCATTTTCTTGCTGTCAACAAGCTGTCGGTTCATGCATTTGGGTCCAAAGCAATTGCCGGCTTTGATGCGGTGCCGTGAGGTTTTCTCCACTGTGGACTGAGCCCTGTTAAAAGGGAAAAGGTGCTGATGTTAAAAAAAAAGCCAGGTCTGCAGTCCAAAGGCGAGGCATCTCATCAACCACTTCTCAAGGCATGTAATAAGCAATCTTTCTGGGCCAAGCCATAGTATGTATCACAGAAGTGTGAGCACTCAGGTAGGAGGCAAGGCTTTGGGGAGAGTATTCACTCAGCAAGTGCCAAAATGAGTAAGTGCACCACAATCCATCCCTTTCACATGCATTGCCTTTTAAAGAGCAGCAACAAGAGACGCACCAGAGATCTTTGCCTGCCTGGCAGAAGTTCAGACATTTCTTGTCCTTCTGGTTGGCACATCGGCATCTGCTGCTTGCATCTGCGAGCATCTCCGGCACCATGTCCTTCAGTGATCTTCTGGGTCGAGAAGGGCCGCCGAGACCATATGGAACAGTCTTCCTACGATCAAAGAGACAACATGAAAGTCATTTAAATAATTCTGTGGCTTCAAAACGCTATGGGGTATTTTGGGCAATCTTATCAACGGCATTGATTCCATGAGTAAAGGTTGTGGGATTGGGAATGCCTCGTTAGTCACAGTTTCTATGGAAATGTTTCTGATGATCCTGCAACATATCCATTAGCACGGCTACTGACAAGGATAATGACGTTTTAATTGTGATTTCACAAGGCTGTTGTGCCTCCCTGTGCAATAGAAAGCAATAAAACCTCATCTCTTTGAACTTTGGCTACTGCCAACACTGAGAGAAGCAGTAAAAGTGAAGAACAGATTCTCTCTCAGAGGAAACCCAGCAGCAGAAGAAATCAGTAGTCAGTGTTTGCAGCCTTAGGTGAGCCTCTGGCTCACTACTTTTTGGTGAGGAGAGTACAGAAATGGATACTGTGCATAATCCTATTAGCACGTGGGATGCATTAATTTGCAGCAGGGAGCAGTGAAAGGCAGCTAGAGCCACCCGGTGTCAAACTATTCCTCCCAAACTCCTAACTTGTCAGAAAGAAAACCGCTCAAATTCAGGCTGGCAAAATCATGCCTTTGGCATTTTGTCTGATTCTGATTCATAGTGAAAAGTATCCTGCAGCCTTTGCTGTGCAGCACCCAAAGGAAATACTGCTGCCCAGGTTTTAGGTAGGCAGGTGTGTTGGGATTATTAGGAGCTATCTGCCCGATCTGGGTGGCCCAATCCTGCTTGCCTTCTTCTGGTGAACAGTCTCGTTGCTAAATGCGCCAGAAAAGTAGGAGCAGGAAGGTAAAACAGTAGGAGAAACTGTGCAAACAACTATTCCTTCCTCCCCTTCCCATCTCTGCAGGGGGGTTGTGGCTCTTAATTTTCGCCTTCACACCTCCCTCCCTTTCTTCCCAACCAAAGGCGAACCCGGCACCGGGGAAGTGCCGAAAGCCCTCCACTCCACTCACTCGGGCGTGTTGATCCAGATGATGT